AATCCTAGAAATTTCTTAGTTTTTGAGCTTAACACAAACAATTTCGTGCTGAAAATTTGAATTTCAAGATAAAGTAACCTGAACGACTCGAAACATGTTTCTTATAGGTTTTCGACAATGCTCTTTCGAGTGGCATCGTTTTTAAATATTGAGAAAGTTTTCTGAAGGGTTTTCCAGAGGCCGGATCTCTGGAAAACTCTTTAGAAAACTTTTTCAAAATCCAACTCTCATGCCATTAGAAAGAGGATCATCAAAAACCTATAAAAAAATGGTTCATGAAATTTTAGTGCACTCATAAAGCTAAAGTCCGCCTGCTCTGACAAAAAATGTCCACAGTGTGCCTCTAAACATCCAAACCGAAAATTCAACCTCTTCTGAAAGAAACTGTGATCTTGAACTTTTTCCGTTGAAAAATATGAGATTATTTTTTCTTTTCGACTCTATACAAGCGCTTGTATTATATAATCTGGTAGTCCAACCGCAGCAGCCGTGATCGCAGCTTGACGACGAAACGAATGTCCAGAGTATAAGTTTGGTAGAAATCCGAGTTGAGTTAGAAGAGAATGCAACATCCTAATCAAAAGTGGTCGACTTAGGGTTTAAGGAGTTAAAAAAAGCGAATTAGTCAAAATATTCGTAATCGTTTGACATACTTTTAAATAACGTAACAAAAGAGAAATCGGATAAATTGCATAATGTACCTGAAATAAAGAAATAGTAACTCCTGTACGAAAAGAGTCAGTTTTAGAACATTTCATATGATCAAGTAATTATTAGATGAGACGAATCATCAATTTGCTCGTGTGAGATGCGTCTAATCATCATAAAGAACAAATTAAAAACTTGTCGAAGAAATTTTTCGCTCAAAAACAGTGCAATTTATAATAGAAAAACGCCTAAAAATGTGAGATGTTACACAAAAATAATGTTAAGAGTGCAGAAAAAGAAAACACCAGATGCATTAATGAAAAAGTACGGACGCAATAATAAGTTTAAAAAAATATATAAATAACAATGAGTTTTCTCTCGTTAAACTGTTTGTGTACAAGAAAATGCCTTTAATAATGTCTGTTTGACAGACATCAACTGTTCTATATTTTGATCCCAATTTGTTTCTGTTAATATATTTAATATTGTTTCATACTCATTATTATCTAAAAGACAATCAGCATACGTTATACACGCTTCATATAGGTGTTGTGCAGCTTGTCGACGAATCCAAGGATATTCATGTTGAAAATAGTTTGTTAACAATGCAATTACTTCGTTTTTCAATTTTGGATTATTAAATTGAATTAATGAGCAATAGAATCGAATTATACTGACATTTAATTTCATATCGTTAATTAAACGTTGTTTTCCTCTTACTGTAGATTCAATTGAATGAATTATTCCAAAACATATGTCTAAAAAATGTTGTTGATGATGATCATAGTACCATTGGAATGTTGACTGAGATAATAAACGTTCGAATGCTTGAATACAAGGATGATAAATTCTCAGTTGATTTTTTGTATCGAGAAAAAGTTGTAATAAATCATTTAACAGAAATTCAAACAATTGAACATTTTTTTCATTCAATTTAAGATAATCATTCAATGCACAACTAGCACCGGCCAATGATTTTTCTGTTGAATCACCAGATGTTATTAAACAATTTTTCCATATAACATAACGATATTCTTCATACTCAAGTAGTTGAACAACTAATGGAAATATAACTTGTGCATTACGCCATTCAAGTTGATTATTAGACAAAAATAATTGTTCCAATACAAATCGATGTTGAATATTTAAAAGAGATTTTTCATTCAATAAATTTACGAGTGAACAACCAGCCACATATCTTGTATCATCAATTTTTGAACAAATTTGTTCTAATAATGCGCAGAGAATAGAATTAATAAGATTAATATTTAAATAGTCCAATTGTTTGTTTGTAGAAACAGTTAATTGTAACAATTTCACGATATGTACACAAGATGTTTCACGTACTAGACGTCCACAATCTCCACGACGGTCATTAGTATAGTCTTTTGTGCAACGTATATAACAATTTATTATTTTTGAAAATATATCGAGTGTAATTGAAATAAATTTTAAATTTGCACATAAATTAAAAAGAGCTATTATCGCATCTTTTCGTTGATTAATTAAAGATTGTGTCTGCTGTGTTATCACTGTTAATTTTAGTAAACAATCAATGATATTATGTAAATTATCATTATCTAAAGTTAGTAATAGACGATCTGGTAATAAAACTAAAGCTAATGAAAAACCTTGACGAATATGTTCATGAGATGTTGTTTGAATTTTTATTAAATAACGTTCAATTATCATTCTGAAATTATCGTCAGATGTTTGACTAAAAAGAAAATTAACATTTCTTTATCAGCATGACTCTCACAAAAGATCAGAGTCCAGTCCAACAATACAGTTAAAACTCACGGAGGGGGCAAGAAATACCTTTTCTACATAAACTTTGAATCTACTAACAGACAGCAAATGACAGTTGTTTCACAGCATATACATCTCTCCTCATAAAATCGCTCATGTTCAATGTGTCTAAATGTATCTTCAAACGAACTTGTCTGCAAGTTCTTACCCAGATTTTTGATAAAATGCATCTGCAAAATGTTTCAGTGCGTTTAAACTGATCTGTCTAACATCTTCATCAAAACTACTAATACAATCGTCTAATATTGTTTGCCAACAATTGATCGTTGCTAATGAAAATACATCTGATTCATCATGTTTAATTCCCAAAAAGTAATTTAACGAACATGAAACATTGCATATAAATGAACACAGTCCTGGACGGATAACATCACCAATATAACCATCTAAATAGCCTAATTGTCTATATTCAATTAATAAATTTTCAATTTTTTGTCGTAAAATTGTCTTGTTCTCTCTCTCTTGTTTATCATCTTCAACATTATTTTTCTAAAAAACAACAAATAACTTCAATCGAGGTGCATAGTCATTCTGACATTTGGTTTATAGATTACTTAAACTTCTATTATATTCTCCTGGTATGTGTCTGTTTTCTTCCGTCATCTCACGAGGGAAGGCCCGCAACTGTCCCATCGCTTTTGAGACGAAACTTAGTGGACAACAGGTAATCGAGGGTACTGATTCCAAATATCACAATGGTTTTTGCGTATGGGCCTCAGCATGCCTCACTAAGAAACGTTGTGGTTATTTTTTAGACTTTCTGAAACCTGGTTTTTCAAAAGCCGGGGTCTCCAGGGGCCCATACGCAAAAGCCATTTTGTGATATTCAGAATCAGCACTCTCGATTACCTATTGTCCACTAAGTTTCGTCTCAAAAGCGGTGGGACAGTTGGGAGCCTTCCCTCGTCAAAGAAAATGGAATACTAGCAGAATGAGAAAAAAACTAAGATACTTGAAGAGAGCTGCTAACTGTTCAATCTCTTTTACATAGCTTTGCTTCTCTAACTAACTACTAACTACTTCTCTTAAAATTGAAAAAATGTTTCTAACTACGATTATGAAGACTATCTCGCAAAAATCGCAGCTTTGAATCGTATTCTTGACTCAACTATCTGATTATTTAACTTTTTTGAAGTATCCACTCTTTGAATGCAGAAGAAAAAATAAAACTGAATACTCGTACATACCTGTTGCTGTCGTTGACATAATGCTAACACAATATGTCCACAACTAAACAATAGACCGTGTCTCGCTAGTGCATCATTTTTCTTGTCTAAACACTGTTCGAGTAAAGGAAATAATATTTTATCGTAGATATGATCGATCTGACAATAATTCAACGTTAAAATTTCTAATATTTTACTTGTTAATATTCTCGTCTCTTTATTCCAATGACACACTTTATATTTGAGTAAATGTTCAATCATATAGTACCGATAAACCTCATATTTTGCTATTGATTGTGCCAATTCAATGTAACAATAATTTACATTACCAATCAAACTATAATCTGTTTTGAGTATAATATCAATACCATGTGGAAAATAATCACCTTGTCTTCCTACATTTTCTTGAAGAGCAGCTGATGCAGCTCTGCGACACTGGACATTCCAGTCAAAACATATAATACATAATAGCATACACGCCAGATCAGTGGTATAAGATTGAAAATCAGCCGGATTGAATGCTCGTGCAAATGCCCAACAGATCTAAAACGAACATATATTCATCCAAGTAACTTGTGATCATTTCAAACAAATGATACTTACATAACAAGCTGCATCTCTAACAACGTGACCGTACGTTTGATGTCCTAATTTTTCATCATAATTTAATGATTTTAATACAATCGGTATAACGATGCTTAAACGTGTTGGTAATAATAGACCACGTCGTGCTAATTCAGCTAATGTTAAACATCCACCTTGTAATGTACAATGATCACACGCTAACAAAGCAACTTTATCAATACGGTCACACAATAATAAAACTAATTCATCTGCATACGATTTTTTTAATCGATTTGTTATACGTCCAATACCTTTCGCCGACGACCAACGAACATACAATTCTTTATCACTTAAACCGGATATTAACATTTGTATAATTGTTTCTAAACCCTTATCTGATAATACATCCACATTATTATAGTATCGGTCGTCATCATCATCCTCGCTAGATTCAGCTGTGTCTCTTTGAAATTCATTAGTGTAACCATTCGTTTCGGGATGGTTGTGAACGCCATTTATTTGTCTTAAAAAAGAAAGAAATAATTAACTAAAATAATCAATTAAGAAACTTTTTTTCTCGAGTTTTCTGTGAATCCAAATCACTCTTATGAGATATAATAATGAATGCTAATAATGGCACAGGATCATTTAAGGACGAAATATTTTAGGAGGAGATATACGGCAGTAAAACCTCTCCAAAATGAAGTATCTTAAACCTTCTCTAGCGGACGGTTTACGATACTCCATTGATTATAACTGGAAATTTGAAAATAAATCACTTTCTCCCTATCTTTCGTCTTAACTAGCGATGTTACCAACCTTTATTCGGGATCTTCAACTGCACAAATCGCAGAAGGAAAAGACAAAAGTTTTTTTAATATATCGAAATATACAATAAACATTTTCTATAAAATGAGAAGTTACAGAGCTCTAACCACTAATGTCTTCCACGGTGCCTAGATTCGGGCTCGAGCTTGATTAGACTGGGTTAAGAGTTGGATTTCTTACTGAATAAGTGAAGAATAACAAGCAAAAAAAATTTTGCACAGAGTTCGCTAACATCTTTTTGTGTAGAGAGATATGTACTCTACACTTCTAGCAACTCAAAAAACGTCCCTCTAATCAAATTTTCGAGACGTACGATAAAGGTTGAAAAATATATAAAACAGACTCATAAAATCCATAGTTTTGACCATTAATTCTGATAATAAAAACATGAGGTACAATCTTACTTATTTTCACTGGTCAGTCCTGTTGTTCGTTTTAAAAGATTTTCTTGTAAATTTCTTACACCCCGTTTATATCTCCATTTCGCACCATGTTGTGGCATTCTTAATAGCGTCGTTCCTAATTTTTGTAACAGTTTACACGTTAAACGTCTTATTGTTAAACGTTTTGATTGAAAATACTGTTTTTCTGTTAAAATAGTTAACAGATTCTGAACATGTGGTAATAAATTTTCTCGTTGTCCAAATTTAAAGATATAACACAACGTTTGCAAACAAGCATTTATTTTCAACATAATGTCTTCATCGCTATTTGGATCATATTGACTAATGATTGGTATTAATTCATTATTAATGTAATCGTTTAGACATAATTGTACGCAGTCTTGTCGCGACATAAAGTGTCCAATAATAAATGCAATTATTCTCATATATGCCCAATTATATAAATATTTTTTACATATATTCAATATTTGATTCATTGTTGTTTGTGTTTTTGTTTTATTATCAAACCGACATAAGTCTAATGGTACCATGCATGTTGTACCTAACCAAATCAATAGTGAATAGATTGTCATCCATGATTCCGATGTGTCTATTGAAACAAATATTGTTGAGATTTCACGTTCGATTAAATTTAAAACAACTATTAAATGATATGGCTCATGCGGGAGAAAACGATTAGTCATTACTTTAAAACCGCGTACTTTAATTAAATAATATAAAAAATTTCCAGCTAAATGAACCAATTTCATGTTACTATCATGTTGAATGTGAGTCAGTGTTTTATCAACCATTTTCTCAATATAACTATCGATTAATTGTGGCTGTTCTTGATATTGATTAAGTATGTAAATATAACGTTCAAATGCACGTTCAATGTCATTTTGTTGTTCGATTTTCTCGTTATCATTTCCACTTTCTTCAAATCTTTTAATTAGATCGGGAATTTTATCAATTAACGTTAAGACTTCATCATGTTGTTCAAATTCATTTAAAGCAAAATAAACAGGATCCACGTCATAAACCGATGGAGAAGGATCAGTTGATGTTTCATCCATTCTGTAATGGTAGATTTCGATAATCTAATCAAAATATTCAAAAAAAGAAAACAACTTTCATACAACTCGTATTATGAGATGGAAATACGTTTCCACTTGTTTGTCAACTACTAAGATCAATTTTTTTCAATAAAAATTGATACCAATTAGACCTATGACCGTTTGTTGAACCGCAGTTACTTGACAACAGGAACTACTTTTCAGTTCAAGTTTCCGTTCATGAACTAGAAATGATGTAACAATTCATGTTCATAGGACCGACTCATCAGTTCTAGTTTCTTCAAACAGGAATTACAGATGTTTTTAAACCAGGAACTGTTGATGCTCTTGTTCTTAGTGCTCTGTTAGCTCGCTTGCTAGTTCAAAATGTTTACTATAGAAATACGTAATGAATCAACAGAGCACTACAAACGAGAGCATCAACATTTTCTCGTTCAAAGAACGTGAACTGTCATTAATTTAACACCAGTATCCATTGTATAGCAGCGATAGCGATGAAAAACAGATTGTTTAGATTCTTCCTAAGATATATCTGTCCTGAAACCAATTTGTTAACTCAAGAGTATAAAAATTTCATACATTCACCAGAAATCAATTTATCTGATTCTATGAACATACTTTTACTCGAAATCTAGGCATATCGGTCACCGAACAAGATTCAAAATGTAACAGTGCCACAAATGTCCGAATAAATCATGAGCATGAAAAACAACATACTCTTACCGTTCTAACCTTTACATAAGATTTCTGCCAGATGCATAATCCCCACATATGATAAAGTGATACTATACTACTTTTTCCTGCGTTAATTTTAGTTAAAAGGCAGATAAGTAACGAAAAAAAACTAACAACAAAATAAAAGAAAATTGAGTTATTACAACGTCAAATTGATCTTTAAAAAAAAAGGATCAATAATCATAAAAATATGTAATGAACACAATTTTAAACAAAAAAGGGGTGGGTTCGATTAAAAAAAAATCAGTCTAAATTTCTAAATTTAGTGATACGTTTCATTCATCTAATCAGCCGGTTACAAATACAGGAAAGAAAGCAATGAGTAAATAAACTTGAATTATTGCAAAAAAACAACAACAACATGCAAAATGATTTGCTGATAGATACACGTTCATTATTTTTTAGCTTGTTTACAACCTAAGATACACCGGTATTTCAATGCAGAATGATAACATAGGAGAATAAACAAACAACAGATCACCCATAATACGTTTTTAAAGCGTTTGGTTGTTTTGTTGTTCTACAACTAATAAAAATACCAATTATGACCAGTGAAGTAAAAAAAAATAGGTGGGTGATTGTAGAAGTTAAACTAACATTCTGGAAAATTCTATCAAAAATGCAACAAAAAAGAATTTAAATGGGTACAATCCAATCAAATTCTAAATAGGAGGTTTAAAGTTATTGCACTATCGGCGGTAATGAAAAAAAGAAGATTGACTATATGTATATTTACAAAACCCATTATTAAAATTTAGATATTGGATTTTAATTCATCGTTATCTTCGTTTTGAATTTCTTGAAATGAACGTTTTGGATTGAGTTTCGACAATCGCATATTAAGTAAATCACCAACTTCTTCAGCTATGTTTAACACCTAAATTATAGTAAATGGTAGAATAACTGATGAATAACGCACAAAAAAAACAACAGACTTTATCAAGCATTTCTTTGGTATGAGCAGCCGATAAACAAAATCGAACGCGACCAAGAACAAGTGGCGTTGCAGGAAATCCCACAGTGACCACAGCGACACCGCGTTTCAACATTTCACGATTGAATGCACTAAAACACATAAACATAAATGTAGAAAACCTATCTTAACGATTAAGACCAACGAAAACCGTATACAATTGGACTAGTTTTTGCCCGTGCGTTTTTATTATTTACTGGTCATCAAAATCAAAATTTGAGGGCATTTGAAAGTCTTTATATTTTAGCAACATTCTGAGACAAGGAGTATCTTTCATTTTGTAAATTTAGTCTATGAACTGTTAGCAGTATTGTTTTTAAAAAAAATTTACGTTGCTTAAAATAATTTTTTAAAAGAATGGATCGTTAACTGATAAGAGCATAAAATTTTTCACATACGCAATTTTTGAAGGACTGTATAATAAAGCAGGAACAACTGGAGAATGTGGATGTCCATAGACGATGAAACCCATTTTCGATAAACGTTCACGAAAATAGCGTGTATTCCAGGCTAATTGAGCAATACGTTTTCGTCCTAAAAATATTCCAACAAAAATAACCAATAATGCATAATATAAAAAAACGTTTTTTCGCTTGTACAAACCTTCGCTATTTTCATTTTCATCTAGCAAAAAATTTAAAACAGAGATGATTTGTTCGACAACTGGAGGACTCATTGAAGTTGCATAAACAGCTGCATGTGAAGTAACTCGAATATGGTCAACTAATTCCTAAAATAAAATTTAACAGATTGCAAGATAATGAATTGTTTTATCGCTAGTTGCTCTGCTAAAAGTTGAAGAGGATAGAAATAGACTATTTCTGCTTGATTAGAATATATGGTCATGCTATAGCAGAGATGGACGAGCTGATCGAAAGTTCAACTCACACTCATAAGAGTTCATAGGACAACAACTCATAACTCGATTAGACTCGCGTCTCGGGTATCCTATTTACTCTTGCAAATACATACTGTATTATGTTAACTTTTAACAAACTAAATATAACTACAACTGTTTACAGAAATGAAGATTAAAAAAAGCATTCATATAATCATACTGCAACTTCGCAACTTCGCTCATATGGGCTCTGCTCTTTGATACTATACTATTAATATTTTCGCACTACATTTTTAGATAAAAATAGCATAACTATCTGTCTAACGATCAAGATTATAATAAAAATTACATCTTCTCACCTTTTTTCCAGCAATATAACCACCTGCTGCGGCAAAACTTTTTGTAAATGTTCCCATTAGTACATCAACATCATTCGGATCGCAATTCCAATAATCAATAACGCCTCTACCGCGTGCACCTATGGAAAAAAAAGGAGAGGTGACACTGCTAGAACAACTGAATTAAAGAACAAATTTACCCATTGCTCCGATCGAATGAGCTTCATCCAAATATAAATAAGCTTTATACTTTTTCTTCAAACGGATCAAATCCGGTAATTTACATAATGAACCTTCCATGGAATAAACGCCTTCAACAATAATCAGTATTTTTCTCCATGGACGATGATGTCGTGGTTGCCCATTTACAATAGATTCTCTCAATTTTCGTTCTAAACTAGCCATGTCTGAAACAATAGAACAATATAGAATCGACTCTAGGAGAAAGCATACATCCATACCGTTGTGTTTAAAAATTTTAATAGTAGCACCAGATAAACGAGCTCCAAGTACCAATGATGTATGATTCAGCTCATCACTTAATATAAGACAACCCTATCAAACAAAAAACAAATACAATCAAGCACTATAATACAAATCTAGTACATTGCCCTTCTACTCAAACTCTCCATTCCCTGCTCAATAGTGATGACGATTAGATGGTCGTTCGTCACTTACTTTTCCAACTATTGATGGAATATTGAGTGCGTTAGTTGCAAAACCCATTCCAAAGGCAATTGCTTCTTCGGTGCCAAGAAACCGTGCAAGCAATGATTCAAGTTTTCGGTGTAATGATAATGTTCCTACATGATATTAGTAAAGGAAAAAAAACACACACATTTACAAAAATTGTTAAAGTTAGTTTTGCTCGTTGTGTTGATTAACTGGTGAACTATATTTTTAGCTGTGTTGTTTTTTAAAATGAATAAAGAGCTTAAAACTAACCGAATTCCTGAGTAGAACTTGCTGTTGACACGCCCAGTTTAGGAATGATTTCAAGTACATTTTGAGAACATTTTCCATTGTTATCGGCAAATCCAAGATAATTATATGAGCCAAGATTAATTGCACGAATTGTATCCTTGGTGTATCTAGGTAGAAGAGTATTTAAATGCATTAAAAAATGTGGAATGAACAAAATACTACCTAAATGACCAATTGTAATCGTCTGTTACTCGATCTAATAACGTCACTTCTCCACCAGGTACACTGGCAATAGGCTGATATCAAAATAAATAACAATAATAGGTTCGCGAGATTTGACAACATAAGTGATTTAACTCACTCGATTAAAACAATCAGCAATGCGTCCATAAACATTCCGTGTGTAAAAGCTTTCATAGCTTTGATAAAGAGAAACGAAACCCTTAACGATAATAAATAAATAAATAGTTAATAAAAAAACGCGGATGAGTACATACTGGTGGATTATCTTCGGCTGAGCCTTTTCGAGTCTCTATACGAAATTTTCTTAATAAATCACGAAACCAACCAAACAAATTTAGTATAACATAATTTAAATAAGTCCAAAAGGCTTCTGTAAGTGGTGTTTCTTCATAGATTTCATCATATGATGGGAGATGTTGTTTCTGTTTCTCTTGAATATAGTTGTATCCATTTTGTCTCTTTTTGATCTTGTCATTGCTCTACATGAAAAACACAAATGAATTTTATATTAAAAATGCTGTTAAACACTTGTTATACCGAGAACGTTTTCTTATCCCTGTTCATCATCTCTTCGTTGTCTAAAAATAAAATGACAACTAATTAATTTTTTCATATTATCTGTTATCCTGTGCTACGATAAACTACAAAACGTATGAAGTGGAAAAGAGTGGGCAACAAAAGGTTAACGCTGTCAAAAAATTTTTAAAGATAGGAATTTTGTTATTGCGTAAATGTTTTAGGAAAAAGAAAAGTAAATTTTTATAGAAGGTTCAAGGCTTTGTTATCACTTAATCAAACAATAAAAAACGAGATCATAATATTATTTTACTATTTGACAAAACAACTTCGTACATTCCATACCATAGAATAAGGTCCACAGATGAGTCATAGAACGTAACGGTTACAACCAGTCATAAACAGTGATATAAAATGCCGCATTACACAAATATAAACGAACGAGGTCGCTATGTATGGTGTGCACATCATTCGATGTAGCAAACGAAAGGAAGCCAGTCAGGAAGCTCTAGTTCAAAATCCACGTTCGTAAATAACCATATTCTTCTCTATACTTGTACAAAAGAGAAAATTCTTTATTTGAACTTGCGAAGGAAAAAATATTAGTGGAAATAGAATAGACGCTGATTCACATCACTCATAGAAAAATAACGTTCATTTAGAGTCGCGAGAAAGTGCTTGCTTTTTCGTATTTTAGCACATTCGATAACTCAGTAGGTTTTCTATTTTTAGCAAGGTGTACTGCCAGAAGTTTAGAAAACATTTTGAAATTAATGTTATTTACTAATGTTATGTTATTTTCCCATGGAATTTATTTTTCGCCATTTTTTTTGAAAATGTTTTCTAAACTTCTGGCAGTACACCTTGCCAAAAATAGAAAACCTACTGAGTTATCGAATGTGCTAAATACAAAAAAGCACTTTCTCGCGATTCAAGATAAACTTTATTTTTTTCTTCGCGTTGATATGTAATGTCGATTACTTAACTGTGTATCCTCTTTTAGGAAGTCTAGAGATCGTATAACAAAAATATCACTTAATTTTAGACAAAAACCAACACTTTTTCTATCGTTATATACCTTATTTGAGCGTCGACTTAAGATACCTCGGCTCAGATATGGTATCGTTAGCAGTCCGTTAACGACACAGAACGTCTCGTTGACGGATCGTTCGTACCATTTTTAGGCGATTTGCACATTGTATAACTTAGGTTCGCAACAAAGTTCTTACGTTTTTTCTAAAGATGGAGGAAAGAAAAAACGCAAAAACTTTGTTGCCAACCTAATACAACGTGCAAATCGAAATGAGCGTATCAATTCGTACGCTCGTTTGATTTTTGTCTGTTACACAGTAAGAAAACAGTCAGTCCAGATCGAGAGTTTGCAACATTAACCGACTAATTTTAGCCTGTTGATTGGTATTGGTAGCAAGAAAATAGTCAGTTAATAGCTCATTAGCGGACTGTTAACAATCACCTGAATGGATTTGTCTTAACTTGATGGTTAAATTAGTGCAGTTAAAACATTAAGCTGTTTTTGCGATACGGTCCTTTGGATCCATAATGTATTGATATTTCTTTGATGGTATTCACCTGTCTCTTTTTTTCTTGGTTTCAACGCTCTCTTTTTCCTGTTCACCAGAGAATTATTGATAAAAAGACTATTATGCACATTTGCCTTACGAGAAATTAAACCTCAGTTAATTTAAAACCTTAATTTTTTCATTATTTCAATTTCTCTCTTACAGAAACTCTAAATTCTTCTAAAGAAAAAAATGACTCTAGAGTCAGATGGGGTAATTCCGACCACTTGTACAAAGTTTCTTAGTATTTTGTGTATTTCTAAGGCGTTTTTAATCGGATAAGCGTGCTATTGAATATGAAGATGGAACTAACAGTTCTCTATCCGCTGATGTAAAAATTTCCTAAAAATCCCTCTCCATTTTCGACCAGTGTTCAAAAGGAGACAAGGATCTCCAAACAGGCTGGAATTACCCCATGTGGGGTAATTTCGGCCGATCAGCTAGTTTGCGTGGGGTAATTCCGGCCGGTCCATTCAAATACACGGAGTTTTCTGAAACAAACCTCTGGTACTTTTCAGAAGTAGATTAATAATAGGCTCAATAATAGACAACAACATTCACAAGAAGATTTGCAAGAAGATTGATGATCCATTTGCGATAGTTTGTAACGCTTTTTTCATGACTTTCTCATAATTAATGAGAATATTTAATAATACTGTGTAAATTCATTACCATAATATCTGTAAAAGGTCATAGAGCCTGCTGGTTTTGAGCTATTCAGATGCAATTTTCACATATATTGTAGGTAATGACATGACGAATACCTTTTACCTGAAGAGTATGTCAGAAATCTACTTCTGAAAAGTACCAGAGGCTTGTTTCAGGAAACTCCGTGTATTTGAATGGGCCGGTCGGAATTAGCCCAAGAAAAATAGCTGACAGGCCGGAATTACTACAATCGAGAAAAATGAAAAAATCAGAAATCTAACCACGTCTTACTATATTTTAATTAACTTCATTAGAATAGGTGCTAATAATTTCAAATTTATATGACAGGTAGAAGAGAAGAAGAGCTTCAAACTGGTGTAATTTCTACCTGATTAGGACTTATCGTTAATTAGCAGAGGTTTGTTTCAGAAAACTCCATGTATTTGAATGGACCGGTCGGGATTACCCCACGCAAACTAGCTGATCGGCCGAAATTACCCCACATGGGGTAATTCCAGCCTGTTTGGAGATCCTTGTCTCCTTTTGAACACTGGTCGAAAATGGAGAGGGATTTTTAGGAAATTTTTACATCAGCGGATAGAGAACTGTTAGTTCCATCTTCATATTCAATAGCACGCTTATCCGATTAAAAACGCCTTAGAAATACACAAAATACTAAGAAACTTTGTACAAGTGGTCGGAATTACCCCATCTGACTCTATAAATATACATACAGTTTTAATTTTCCATAGGAGGCGTTACAATTTTATTGCATGTCAAACGATGGAGCATCAGAAAGGAATGAAAGAGAAAAGAGAAAACAATCTCGCCAAATCGAATAGTATACTATACAAATAAAAGAAAATCAAGTGTTATATGGAGCAATTTTCATAATTATTTTATTGGAAATAGGCGACAGAAAGAATAATATAAATGATACTGATAATAGGAATCTAGAACATCAGGAGATACATGTAAAATACTGTACAAGATTCTTGTCTAAAATGACAAGAGACAAAAATCTTGCAAGAATATCCAGAAGAATGTCAACCAGTGCGTCAGTGCCTTATAGATCTAATATTATAGAACTAGCAAATAAGGAGATATCACTTCCTTAGAGAACGTACTTGGACCAAGCACTTCGTCTGCGTAATGAAGCCGATACTTGCTTTTTTTCAAAAATGTACTCGAGTATTTTCGAGTACTTGAAATTTTTTAACATACAATAACGTATAATTAAAATAACTTTTTTCATGAGTACTCGCCCATCTCTGCTTTTTTCCAGAAGTAAATTTACTTGTAAGTACTTGTCCTTACTTGCCACGTACTTTCAGACAGTACTTCTTAGCAATAAGGCAAGTGTTTCGATCATTGACAAATACTTAGCAAGTAATCAAGTACTTGCATCAATTACGTTCTCTAGAGTAATGTTCCGCTGCCTTTCCATCAATGCATATTTTCTATTTTCGTCCTTTTGTATCGACGCGCTGAGACGAAAAACTGTCCGTACATGGGATAAAGTACGGTACCCTTCTCAGGTATTTAGTGAGTAGACGCATTCAAGCGTTATTTTTAGATATTCAAAAAATGTTTGTCTTACCGCGCAGAAAAGGTATTTTAAAAATAGCTCTGAAATCCAAAAATGCCGACTAATCACGTGACACATGGTGGCGCATGTGACTAGGGTCATT